TTAATGACTTATCTTACAACCTTTCCAGTCTCTGCTATTTCTTCCTGATGTCTCTACTAGACTGGTCAATAAAAGCAACTGTCACTGTAGCCTTGTGCTCCTCACCACTAGGATCATACAGGGTAAACTGACGGAATGCCTCCATGAGTCTCTCCAGAAATGCTGACAGAGACTCATTGGGTCCCTGGATTACCTCTCTTACCTTAGTCAAATTGGTGGGGTGCCTTGCTGCCCCTCAGAGACCTGCCATTAGAGCCTGGCGATAGACTTTCAGGTGCTCCCTACCTTCTGCTGAGTTGAAGTCCCAGTTTGGTCTGGTCAATGGGAATCCTGCATCTATAACATCAGGGAGGAGGGTAGGTTGCCCATCATCTCCTGGAACGTTCTTTCGAGCCTCCAGGAGGATTTGTTGTTTCTCCTCGGTGGTGAACAGGACCTGGAGGAGCTGCTGGCAGTCATCCCAGGTGGGCTGATGAGTACAGAGGAGGGATTCTACAAGGTTAGTGAGATCCTGGGGGTTTTCAGAGAAAGGGGGATTCTGAGATTTCCAGTTGCAAAGATCAGAAGAGGAGAAAGGCCAGTATTGTAAGGGCTGGTTGCCCTCTTCATTAGGAGGGCCATAAGCCCACAGAGGGAGGGAGGGTGGGAACAGCCTCCCGAGGGGCTGCTCGCCTACTACGTATCCCCTGCGCAGGTCCCTCCCTTGCTCCTTGTGGGTCCTCTGGTGGAGCTGACAGGTGGGCTGCCTGAGGGCAGAGGGAGGGAAGATAAGGAGGAGGGGGATCTAGGAGAAGCAAGTCCGATTCAGTGGAAGGTAGGACCTCCGGTTTCTTTTCCATCTCTTGAAGAGCAAACACAGCCGATGGACTTGTTAGGGGAACAAAGGGACGGACCCATGGAGGAGGGTCCATGACCAGATCTTCCCAGACAGTGATATAAGGGACCTGGTCTGGGTGACTTCTAGAATTGAAACCAAAAATTTTTCTCTTTACCACCATGATCAGCGGCGGAGAGAAGGAGCCTTCGGCGAGCCATCCGAGTTGGAAAGTCAGCCAATCCGAAGAACAAAGTGTTACCCACTTATCCTTTTTAACCTGTACAGACAGATTATGAGCCCTTGCCTTCACATCAGTCCAGTATTTCAGAGTCAGATTTAAAGGGGTCGAGACAGCCTACCCCATTTTGCCCCAAAAAGTCATCAGTCCCAACACACATGCAACCAGACAAAGAAAAACCAAAACACTGACACGCCCCTGCCATGGGCGCCACAACCTGATTATCAGAGAACTCGGGAGGGGTCTCATTCCTAGAGATCTCCGTTCCTAGAGATCTCCCGTGGAGCCGAACCCGTTCGTCTCCAACATAGGAATCTGAAGTGTCCTCCAGGATTCCTGTGGCCACAGCATACCGGTATGTCTACCTGCCGCTATGGACCACCACAGACTGGTGATTCCATCTCAGAGCCTCCAAAATACTGAAACCAGACTGATGACTCCATCCCGGAGCCACCAAAACCAGATTATAACAGACAATTTACAGCAGACAACAAAGACAGACACAGACAGACAGACAACCGCAGTACCTGCTCAAGCGATCCTCCACTCTCTAGTCTCCAGTCCCTGAGAGAGCCGCTTCCTGGCCAATGCACCAAAATGTAAGACTGGCCCGAAAGCGTGAATCTTACTTGTTGGGAAGGCTCATCTTGCAAAGACCAGGAGACAGAGATTGCTGCAATCAAGCAAGAGGTTTTTATTCCAGCATGCTGGGGTCACTCCATCTTCAGGACAGAAGCGGCCATGAGATCTTAACACAAGCACTTTTCATACAGTTTGGTAGGCAGACTTTGGCAACAGGATGAGTTGTACACAGCTTATTGGTCATCTGAGGTGACTTTTAAATTCATTGGTGGTACACTGGGGATGTGACCCATCACCTAGTAGTTAGGCCTTTCTTGGAACTGGGTACACTTCGGGTTCCTGGAATGGCCCACCCTTATAGTGGTTAGGCCCTTCCTGGAAATCCCTTTTACCCTGGCAATGGAATGTTCCAAAAAGGTTGGTGGGTTTTTTAGCAATTCAAATACTATTTAAACTTAATTAATCTACCTTATCACACAGCAAGCAGTTTTACAGAAGCGAATTGCATATGTTATGAAAGCGGGGGTTAATTTTATCTCTACAGAGGGTCCCTCAAATGTTCAGAATCTTGCCAAGCATTTGATATAAATATGTACGTGCATGCCAGGTGTTCCTTGGTTGTGTCTAATGTAATTGTGCATGTGCACCTAGGTATTCTTTGGTTGTCTGACTCCACCCAGGTGTTCCTGGGTTAGAATAAAGGATGAGAGGCTCTGATCCACAGGCTCAACCCCCACCCCTGTTTGCCCCCATGGGGGCCACAAGGAGGCTGCTACTGCTGGTGGAGGCTGTTGCTACAAGCTGCTGCTGCCAGGGCACCCAGGGATGCCCAGGGAGGCCACTGCCCCTGCTGCTGCTAAGGTAGGAAACTGAAGACTGAGCTCGTGATGGCAACCTTACCAGTGGCTCCCGGGGTCTTTCTCAATTACCTAGCTCATGACCTGCATGTGAGGGGTCTGTGACCCAGTCTGGCATGTGAGGGGTCTGGTGACACAGTCTGTACAATGGGTTTGAAGGGTCTGAGCCCTAGCACAACAGGAGAACATAATTTAATACACTACATTCCACCCCTGGCCCTCCAAAACTAATGTTCTTTTCACATGCAAATACATTCATTTCATTCTCAATGTCTTTACTTGTTTCAACTCAAAAGTCCAAAGTTCAAAGTCCCTTCTGTGAATTCAAAACAAGTTATGCACTACCAAGACACTATGGTGGGACAAACATAGAGTACATATTCCCATTCAAAAAGAGAGAAGTAAGCCAAAAAAAAAAAGGTGGTAACAGGTCCCAAACAAGTCCAAAACCAGCAGGGCAGTCATTAGATCTCAAAGCTGGTGAATCAGTCACCTTGAATCCATGTTCAACCTCCTCTGCACACTGGTATGGTAGTTGGGTCCCCACATCCTTGGGCAGCTCTACTCCTATGGCTTACCTGGTCTCAGGCCACACTTCAGCTCTTCCAGGCTGGTGTTCCACACTGGTAGCTCCACAAGTCTGGGGTCTCCATGGTGGTCCTGTTCTCACAGCTCCACTAGTCATGGCACTATCGGGGTTTCTCTGTGGCAACTCTGGCCCCATGTTTCTGCTCAGCATTTCTTTAGTGAAGAAATGTGGTGCATCTACCCCTGTGACAGATATCATCCTGGACCCACAGCTCTGGCATTCTGCAAGCCTGCAGACCTAACACCACGTGGATGCCACCAAGTGTCGGGCCTCCCTGAGCCAGAGGCCGACAAAACCGAGCGGGAAGAGACCCCGGTCCAGCCGGGGGTCCCTTATGGGGCTGAGCAGGATGATGAGTGTCGCTGGCACGGCCCTTCCCCCCCAGGGCCTTCCTCCCCGGGGGCCGAGAAAGAACACCGCCGAGCCAGGAGAGTGGTCAAAGCCGGAACTCCGTTTATTAGAAAGATGTTGGAGTTTATATAGAGGAAGAAAGCGGAAACAGAGAGGAGAGGCGGGAGGAGATGGTTATCCAATCAGGGGAAGCCACAAGTTATGAAGAGGGGTGATGACAGGGCGGGCAAAAACTGCTTAGTCACTGGGCCCCGGAAAAGAAGGACTTCTAGCTACGTGCATTAAAGCGCTCGTGAAACGGCGGCGGAGGCCTTACGCCAGCAAGATGGCCACCGCTTGATCTATTTTAGGGAACAGGAACCATACTTAGGCAGGCACCTTATGATTTGATTGCGCCGCAACATGGCCCAACAAAACTTACAGTATGGATATTGTATATGAGTCACTGATATTTATTTTTTTCAATAAAATTGACTCAGAAGAATTTCTCAGTAGACATATTTTCTACTGGGCCTTACTACAAGATCTTAGTTTATGCCTTTTGGGAAAGAATCGTCTGATTAAAAATATATGTAAGGGGCCGGCCCAGTGGCGCACTGGAAAGTGCGCTGCTTGGGAGCGTGGTGGCGCTCCCGCCGAGGGTTCGGATCCCATGTGGAGACCAGTTCCTGCTCACTGGCTGAGCAAGGTGCGGGCGCAACACCGAGGGTTGCGATCCCGTTACCGGTCAGTAAAAAAGACAAAAAGGAAAAAAAAATAAAAATATATGTAAGGACTTTTCTATGTAAAGAATATAAGGAATGAAAGAAATTCTGATAAACAGGTTTAATTACTTTGGTTTTCTAAAGTTTCTAAAGTTTCTAAATTACTTTGGTCACTGATATTTATTTTATTCAATAAACCAAGGCTTCTGGCTTATATCTTTCAAAGCTGCATGTCCAGCCACAGCTGAGGCTAATTTAACCACAGCTGGAGCAACCAAAACAGCTGGGGTGCTGGTGATGGAAGCAGCTTCCCAGTGTAGCCCTGGACAGTGAGCCTGTAGAGGGCACCTCAGGCCTGTTCCCCAAAACCATTCTGTCTCCCTAGGCCTTTGGGCCTGAAATGGATGGGTTGACCCCAGAGCCTTCTGCAATGCCGTCAGGGCCTTTTCCCCTTTCTCTTGATAATCCTGTCTTTTGCGTTAATCTTCTTAGTACCATTGAATTTTTCTTCTGAAAATGCTCTCTGCTTCTCTACCACATGGCCAGGCTGCAAATTTTCCAAATCTTTACTCTCTGCTTCCCTTTTAAATTATGGCTTTACAGAATATTTTTTACAGCCTTTGCTGCTGTAACTCAGCATGGGCTGTTACAATTAGCCATGTAGCTTCCTTAATGCTTTGCTGCTTATAAATTTCTTCTGCCAAATATCCTGGTTCACCACTCCTAAGTTCTAACTTCCACAAAGTCCTAGGGCATGGACAGAACGCAGCCAAATTCCTTGCCAGTTCACAGCAAGGGTGATCTTTTGCCCCAGTTTCTGAAAAACTTATTTCTATCTGAAACCTCCTTAGAATGGTCTTTACAGTTTATATTTCTATCAGCATTCTGCTCGCCGCCAAAAAACAGTCTCTAAGACATTCCAAACTTTCCCTGGTCTCTTTGTCTTCTTCTGAGTTTTCCAAACTCCTCCAACACCCAGCTCCAAAGCTGCTTGCACATTTTCAAGTATTTGTTGTAAGCAACACTCCACTTCTCTGGTACCAATTTTCTGTATTAGTTTGTTTCTGTTGCGTATAACAAAATACTTGAAACTGGGTAATTTTAAAGAAAACAAAATTTATTGCTTACAATTTTGGAGGCTAGGAAGTCCAAAGTCCAGGGAACACATCTGGTGAGGGTTGTGGTGGCAGTGACAGTGACCCAGGTGTCTCACATTGCAAGATAGTGGAAAAGAGAGCAGAGCAGAGAGAGAGAGAGAGAGAGAGAGAGAGAAAGAGCAAGGCAGACCCTCTCTTCTTCTAAAGCCCTCAGAGCCAAGCCCCTGACCACCATTTTTAATCCATTCACTACCACATGGTCCTACAATCTAATCACCTCTTCAAGGCCCCACCTTTCGATTACCATAATAAGATTTCTCACCCTCTTCATATCACAGTGAGGGCTAAGTTTCTAATACACAAAAGTTGGAGGACACAATTCAAGCTTCAGTGAGTTTTGGGGGGACAAAATTCAATCCACTGCATTACTTTTCCCACCATTTAGAATGTTTAATGCCTAGCATATGGTTAAAATAAAATGGTTTCCACTTTAGTTAGTTATGAAATGCAGGTTTAAGTTGAGCGATATTATTCCTATTGCAAGAGAAAGAAACTTGGTTTACTGGGCATGTAATAAGAAATATTTTTTTTTCTCTTTTTCTCCAGTTCCTGGTGCAGAGCTCCTAAAACTTTTGGAATTTCTTAAGTACACAGTAGAAGTGTCTCTTATCATTCA